CGATTATGGGGTTTATTAGGGAAGTAACAGATTACAATTCAGGCTCAGGAACACTCAAGGATACAGTTCTTCCATCAGGACAGTCTATTGCCAGCCATGCTCAAAGGCATACCTCTCCCTGGCCCTCAGTCTCTGCCCAGAGACACTCAGCTTTCTCTCTCCATGGGCCAAGAAGCCCACCACGCTGTCTCCTGCTGCCAGGTCTCTGCCACTGGGTCTCTCTCTCTCTCTCTGTGTCTCCTGGTTCTAGGAGCTTCTCAACACAGGGATCTCAGGTCCAAAGGACATGCTGGCTCCTGGCTGTTCCTCCATGGTAGTGGTGGGATTCTCTCTCTTTCCTGCCTCTGGGTGGCTCCTTTCAAGCCCACCGAGATGGCAAAACTAACTAATTCCCTCGGTGGGCCATAATTACCCTATGACACAGTCTTGCCCAATCACTTGGGTGGAAGTTACAAGACCATGGCTAGAAAGGCCACACAAAAGCTATCTTTAGCACCTCAGTGAGGATGGCGAGACTTTGTCTCACATACTTTGGACATGTTATCTGGAGGGACCAATCCCTGGAGAAGGACATCGTGCTCGGTAAAGTAGAGGGTCAGAGAAAAAGAGGACGATCCTCAATGAGATGGATTGACACAGTGGCTGCAACAATGGGCTCAAATATAGCAACAATTGTGAGGATGGTACAGGACTGGGCAACGTTTTGTTCTGTTTTACATGGGGTCACTATGGGTCAGAACCGACTCAATGGAACCTAACAACAACAACAACAGTAAATGTGACACTTCACCTTGGAAAAGACCTGAAGTTTGCTTGTGGAAGTGGGTATCAGAAGGGTTGTAGCCTGTGAGTTATTGTGAAATTGGAAGGAAATTTTTATCTATTGATGTGGATGGCGTGGCTCATAAAACCCGGGTGAACCGAGGTGGCAGGTAGATGTGGGAGGTGTGTATGCACGTGTGTTTTGTATGTTCACACACCGCTCAGTTCAGCTGGGGGCAGTTTTCTGTGTTCATCTAGTGTTTCTTACAGACCACCACCTGTTGGTCAGTGTGTCGTACTGTGGTCGCTTGTGTGTTGCTATGATGCTGGAAGCTATGCCACTGGTATTTCAAACACCAGCAGGGTCCCTCATGATGGGCAGGTTTCAGTGGAGCTTCCAGACTAAGACAGACTAGGAAGAAGGGCCTTGCACTCTACTTCTGAAGATCAGCCATGGATCACAACGGTCAGATCTTCAAGTGATAGTGGCGGTGATGCAGGACCAAGCAGCGTTTCGTTCCATTGTGCGTGGGGTCGCCAAGATGGCTCGATGGCAGCTACCAACAAGTCTTACAACCTTGTGAAGTAGGTGCAGTTATCCCATTTTATAGACAAGGAAATTGAGGCACAGAGATTTACAGAACTGGCCGGGTATCACATAGCTGGCAGGTGATGGTGTAGTATTTGACTTCAAGGAGTTTGTCTCCAGAATTTGCACTTGACGTGGATGGAAGGAACATGTGTACAAAGGCTTAGGGGTTTTAGTGTTCTCTACACTGAGCTCCGCCTCCAGCAACAGATCAACAACCAAAAAAAAAAAAAAAACACATGGCTTCTCTGACGCCTTCCTGGGACATGGATGCAAAGAAAACAGGAAGCGATAAGCCCTGTCCATTTCACTCAGGACATACCACGCTGGAGAATTCAGTCTTGTTCCAGGCACCACTCTCTAGGGGGCGGGGTATAAATACACTGGATTTAGGGGGATATAAATAAACACATGTCCAATGGAAAGTAAGCAAGATGGTGAAGGAATTTAAAGCTCTGTCAGAGGAGAAGCTGGGAAGGAAATTAGGACATTTAGAAGCGAAAAACACCAGGTCTATGTGAGAGTTTTCCTGGAATATTTAAATGGTTAGAAAACATCAAGAAGATCTGGGATAAAATCCTTTGTTTGCTTGCTTTTTCCTTGAGCCCATGGAGCAGAACAGGACACATGCAATAGGGCTGATATTTATTGAATACTTATCCAGTTACAGACCTTTTGGAAATATCATCTCAATTATCCTGGCAACAACCCTGTGATACAGCTCTTGATATTCATCCTCATTATATAGATGAAGAACTTGAAGCAACGGAGATGAAGTGATTTGCCCAGTCACATTAGGCAGAGCAGGGATTTGAACCTAGGCAGTTTGACTTTGAAAACTCTACTCTTCATCCCCAAGCAGAAGAAACAAATTTTGCCTCCATATAATGACGAACTTTCTGGAAGTCAAAAGTGCTCTGGGATAGACCATGCTGCTTCTGGAAGTTGTCAATGTCCAGTCACCGGAGCTGTTCCCAAGCCTGAACCAAGCCATGGTGTTTTCAATCACCTCATATGCAGGCGAAAGCTGGACAATGAGTAAGGAAGCCCAAAGAAGAATGGATGCCTTTGATTTATAGTACTGGTGATGAATACTGACTACACCATGGATGGCCAAAAGAGCGAACAAATCTGTCTTGGAAGTACAACCAGAACCTTCCTTAGAAGGAAGGATGGTGAGACTTTGTCTCACGTACGTTGGACATGTTATCAGGAGGGACCAATCCCTGGAGAAGGACATCATGCTTGGTAAGGTAGAGGGTCAGCAAAAAAGAGGAAGACCCTCAACAAGATGAACTGACACAGTGGCTGCAACAATGGGCTCAAACACAGCAATGATTGTGAGGATGGTGCAGGAGTGGGCAACATTTCGTTCTATCATACATGGGGTCACTATGAGTCAGAACTGACTCAATGGTACCTAACAAGAACAACGACATAGCTATTGAAGAGGTGGTTGAATGACCACTTGAGGTGCTACATAAAGGCTATGCAAAGGCAGGTTGAATAAGATTAGCTTTAAAGTTTACTTTCAAAACTTGCTATGGTTCTAGTAGGGAGTTGACAAAGCATGTTTCAAACAAAATACAATGAAAAAAACTCAAACCAAAAAACAAGACTGAGCAACAACAGTGAGCAGCAACTAGTATAAACTTGTTAATGTCTTCATCATCCAGCTATTCCTGGGTACAGTTTTGTAATAACTTGATCTAAGGAAGAAGATTCATTTCCATTTTGAGAGGTGTAAATTCATTAAGCATGGCTCTCTATAGGGTAAATAGACAATCTAAAATGCAGAGAAGATTAAAGGTATATTTAAAATATCTTTGCTTCATGGAACCTGGGAAATATAAACTGAAGGGCCTTTAAAATATTCCCTCCCTTCTTAAAACAAAACAAAACTTAAAAAAAAAAAAAAGTCCTCCGATCATACTGTTTCCTTTCAGCTCTGTACCATCTCGTGAAGAAGTTGTGTAGGCTTCTGTCTCCACTTCCCTTCTTCCCACTCACTACTCAACTGGCTATCCTCTGGCTCCCCTAACCCCCCTCCCTGTCCCTCAGCCCAATAGACCATCCTAAGTCCCAAATCTGCAGTATCTGAACCACCCATTCATTTTTCAGTGCTCCATTTCCTGGTCTTTGTGAGAGATCACAGGCTCTTGGTTTTCTTCTCATGCCTGGACACTCATTCCTAGTCCCTTTGGTCAACTCATTTTTTTCTTCACCAATCTGCTAATAGTTGTCCATCTTCATGCTTCCATCATCTTTCATCTTGTCTTATTTTACACTCTCCATCTCAGCGTCTTTTGAGCATTCTTCTCTTTCCACCAGCCCTTAAATGATGGGGTTCAAGGGTCCTCTTTTGTCCCCATTCCAAGCAACGGAGCAATCATGTCTACTCCTATGGCGTTGGACATCACCCAGTTGGTGATGAGTCTCTCCACTGACTCATATCTCTCCGAGTCACAGAGCCATGCGTCCAACTGAGAACTGTACATCTCCTCTTAGACATCTCCAGATAGCTTAACTCAGCAAGTCCAAAATGGCACTCTTGCTCTCCCTGCCGGCCCTTCCTCTCCCTTCTCCCCCATCTTGGTGTCTCCAGTAATCTGTGAGTCATCGTCCTTTTTTCCCTTTACCCTCTATCTAACCTAGCATCTAGTACCATCTCTTCTACCACCCAAATATCTCTCAAACCAGTTGGCTTTTTCCATCCTCATTGCAATTGCTCTTGCTCAGGACATTGTCAGTTCTGTACACTCTGTTCCTTTCTTGTCTCTCTAACCTCATCTCTTGCTACCATATCTTCATACTCTGCACTCCAGCAAGACTGAATATTCTCAGCCCTGGAACATAGTTTCTCTCTCACTTGCCAGCCTTTGCACAAGCTATTTCCTCTTCCCAGGGCAGTAAATAACTTCTACTTTTTGTTTGGGTAATTCATATTTATTCTTCAGGCATCTGTTTCAATGTCATCTCTGTTGTAAATCTTCCCAACATTGCAAATTAAGGTGCCCTTCTATACACTCCCATGGTACCCTATACTTTCCCCAGTGATGGAATTTAATGTAGGACCGTAACTGCCTGTTTACTCATCTATATCTCCTGTTAGGTTTTTTTTTTTTTTTTTAAATGGGGCCCTGGTGGCACAGTGGTTAAGAGCTATGGCTGCTAGCCAAAAGGTCAGCGGTTCAAATCCACCAGCTGTTCCTTGAAAACCCCATGGGGCAGTTCTACTCTGTCCTATGGGGTTTTGTTTTTAATAGTAAAACTTAATTTCCATTTCTATTTCCTTTAACATACTTTCAAATTAGGTCTGTTCCTCTGAGTAGGGCATGGAGTTCCAGGGCCCCATATGTTGACACCTAACATTCTGCCCATTGAGAACTTATCTATAGATACAGAAAGAGGAGACTCCATCAATATACAAGAATCGAATTTTGTGAGGGTGGAATAATTAGCTCTTATGATGTATCGTCACCACCTCTGTTGGGTCATAATGATAATGACCGAATTTTTTTTCTTGCAAAGGTTAGCGTTGTTTTCTATTTTGTTTTTAAGTAAAAGGTCAGAATCTGTGAAAATGCTTAAGCCTTCTCCTTATTTCTCTTACTTTTAAAATAGCAGATGTTTGGAGATTTTTAATTCTTCATGAGTTCAAGCTGGGACATGACTGTGATTGATGCGGTCTGTTTAACATACTGAGGAGCCCTGGTGGCGCAGTGGTTAAAGCGGTTTTCGGTTTGAACCCACCAGCCACTCCTTGGGAGAATGATGTGGCAGTCTGCTTCCATGAAGATTACAGCCTTGGAAACCCTGTGGGAAAGTTCTACTGTATCCTACAGAGTCACTATGAGTCGGAATAACTTGACAGCAATGGGTTTTTTGGTTTTGTTTTGTTTTTTTTAATCCAACATACTAACTTCAAGTTTGGTGACCATCAGCAAACTGGCACCTGCAATTAAGCCCGCAGGCATAAATTTTCCAGAGTGGTAGAATCTCACTCCCATAATGCCAGCCAAGGTCCCAGACATAGCTCGGAAAACCCAAACATTCCTGGGATCCTGAGACAGCTGGTAAGCACCCAGGCCTGCTAACCCTCCAAAGAGGAGCCCAGCAGCCAGGGGTGGGCCGTTACCTGCATCTGCACAGCCAGTGATCCCCCCAGAAGTGACCAGTGCTGCATAGCCACAGCCAAGCCAATGCAAGGCACCAGTGGGCATTGTTCTCCTCCCGCTCTGTCCAACCCAGAGAGGACACCAGGCCTGCACCGGAACCGCTCTCCCACGGTCAGCTCCAGGCACAAGCGAGCAGAGGCTTCCTTCCATTCGCTTGTTAATTCCAAGGACTGAGACAGTTTTATTGCTGGCATGTAGTAGATTCTCAGTAAGCATTTGCTGGATGGATATGAAAAGACCGCGGTCCTAGGCCATGTTTTGCAGCCAATTCATCTTTGCCCACTCTTGGCTGTTGCACCTTATTGCATGCACTGAATTATGCAATAATATTTCATCACAACAGAATATTGTCTGATACAGTGCCTCCTAGGTTGGGAAGGGGTTAATGCGAGGACCACAGAAGTCAGAATCTTCAGAGTTTGGACATAAAAGTAGCCACTTAGAAGGATAAATTTGCCCGTGTGTCTTATGAACTTGGTCTTAGGTTTGCAAGATTTTGGGGATCATTAACTCTGTATTTCAGATTTGTTTTTAGGGAGTCCATAATAAGACCACACTGTGGTGCACTCATTGATAATGTGGTAAGAAAATAATTACATGCCAGAAAGTGCACTTTCTTAAACCATTAATCAAGGGAACTTATTCAAAGTTGAATAATGGGAAAAAAGGAAAGATCAGACCTATTTATCATTACAAAGCACTTACACTTCAATTTTAGAGGAAATACTTTGTAACCCCAAATTTTGACCAAATAAATTATTTTGCAGGTATTAAATATCATAGAGATATGGTACCCATATAGGATGGTGGGCTGTCTTGATAATTTGGTCAATGGATCGTTTCCTTTTAAAAGTGGATAATGTATATGGACCGTTCACTTGTGGGAAATACTGATGAGATAAATTCTTCAGGAAAGGGATAACTTTCCAGTTCAGAGTGGTTTCAATCGACAAAGAAAACTGAGATATGACTTCTGTGTCACAGAAAGTAGCTGTATTAAAGAGTTCCTTTGTATATGTAATAAAATAGAAGACATTTTAAGCACTTAGAGTGTTCCACATCTAAGATAGCAGCTCCAGTAAGACTAGATCTCACTTATCCTATTGTGGTGGAGTGGTAATATATGATCCATGATTTTGTTTGAAATATTGGGTCACTTTCCTTTGATTTTCAAGTCGCCCCACTTGCCCACGCTACTTTAATGCACTATCACTGCTATATCCTAGTGCCTTTTCCAGCCGGGGAGGCTCTGCGCCAGGTAGGCTTCTCAGGTGCAAGTCAGCCCTCCAAGGAGATAGCTTCAAAGCCATGCCTTTCTGATAACAGGAAATGACAGGCTCATGTTCTAGAATACAATGACTGGGCCAGGAAAGAAAGATATACAGGATTTGAAATCAACATTTAGGCCTGACCATTAAAAAAAAAAACAAAAACAAACTGAAGTTAATAACATGTGCTATGGGCTCTTGGTGGAAATTTATAAATAAACCCACCGGATAAAGCATGTATTTCCTTTGTTCTGCATTCAAAGGCCTTTTTTATGCAAAGCTTTAGGCTAATCAAGAAAATTAGATCAAGGAAACTCGTTGCAGAGAGTTAATTCTGACTCACAGCCACCCTCTAGGACAGAGTAGAACTGCCCCATAGGGTTTCCAAGGAGTGGCTGGTGGATTCAAACGGCCAACCTTTTAGTTAGCAGCCGAGCTCTTAACCACTGCGCCACCAGGGCTCCAGATCAAGGAAAATTTGTGCTAAAACTTTTATATGGCTGTCTTTCAATAAAACTTCGATGTATCGCCTCTTCTCGTCTTTTGGCGACATGAAGACCAAAGGCAATCTCTCAATTGCTCCAAGTGATAAAACTGTGCTTGATAAAATAATATAAAATACAGATGACGTGTGTCATTTCCAGGCTAGGACGACCAGTGGCTATTATGTTTCTTTCCCCTTTGCCATGGAGACTGGCAATGCTTCAGCTGAGAGCTCAGTTAGCCTGCACCCCCAGCTGAGGACAGTGAAGAACAGAACCCAAAGATCTGTGATGGGCGTGGAGCCTGAGCAGGAAATAAACCTTGTCTTTAAAGTCACTGTAATTTTGGAGGTGTTTGTTACCTTGACTAACTTAGCCTATCCTGACTGACATTTATATATGGATATAGATTTAGATGCTCTATATAGTTGTCAATTTATAGTGTCTGTCAGTAGAGAAATAGGTATTTTTATGATTTTGTTACACACAGTTAGGTTGGGAAATATTTCTGTTTACCAAGCTGAAACGGAGAGGAGGTAACTACAGTTTAAGAAAGTTGGCTGTAAATAATGTCGCTTTTACTAGTAGAGTGGGAATGGCTTATTTACAAGATCCTTGAATACTTGTTGCCTTCTGAATGGGGCTCCCATCCTATCAGCATTCTCCAACTTTGGAAAGCTATTGGCTTCTCTGTCAGGGACCTACTTAAAAAAAAAATTCTCTATCTACGTCTATGTCTATGTCCATATTGATGTGTATCTAAGTCTGTGTCTATGTCTATGTGATGTCTATATTTATATCTCTGAATATGTCTATATGATATCTATATCCATCTGATGTCTGTGTCTGTATCTATGCGACACCTATGTCTCTATCTCTGTTATGTCTATGTCTAAGTCCATATGGTTATATATCTACCTAGCTATCTATTGGTCTAGGAGCATTGGTGATTCAGTGGCAAAATTCCAGGTTCAGTTCCTGACTAACGCACCTCATGCACAGCCACCACCCATTGAACAGGTTTCAGTAGTTTCCAGACTAAGATGGACTAGGAAGAAACGCCTGGCGATCAACTTCGGAAAATCAGCCAACGAAAACCCTGTGGATCACAACAGTCTGATGTACAGCTGATCGTGGGGGTGACACAGGAGCCAGCAGTGTTTCGTTCCATTGTGCACGGGGTCGCCGTGAGTCGGGGCAGACTCGACAGCAGCTAACAACACCGGCATCTGTTGGTGCTGGTTGTTCCCACTTACCACCAGACAAGCCTAGTAATGCTCAGGGGCTGCCTTGACTATTGGAATGTCTGTAGAATTAACCCAGGGGCTTGGCCCTGCGCAGTGAGTTAGCAACAGGTCAGAATTAATGGTGGTAGGCAACCCCCGTTAAGCCCCTGCCTCTGCCTTGAGAATCCTCTGGGGAGGGAGGCAAAGCTGTACATGTGGGCATTTGCTGGTGGACTATCGCAGAGGGAAACATCATACAAACGGACCTACCAAATACGGACCTCGCCTAATGCTATTTATGATCTGGATCGCTGATGTAAATCCAAATTAAGAGCTCTCTGCTCCAAAGGGCAGAGGCTGGGCCATGGATTCTCTTATTAAATGTGGCAATAATGTTAATAAACCCAAACCAAATCCATTGCCGTCGAGTCGGTTATAACTCATAGTGACCCTATAGGACAGTAGAACTGTCCCATAGGGTTTCCAAGGAGTGGCTGGTGGATTCGAACTGCCAACCTTTTGGTTAGTAACTGAGCTCTTAACCACTGCACCACCAGGGCTCCCTCTTATTAGAAGTAAACCACGAAAGGACATTGATAACAACCTCCCAATATGGCGTAGCTCTCTGGTGGACTTCAGCTCTTGGCCCCCCGAGCATGCCATGGAACCCTTCCAACACGGCCCCCCTCCTCTGCCCTGAGTTCTTGCATTTTCCAGGCAGAGCAGCCTGCCTTCACCACTCAGCAGCCGCCAGCACAGACCGCCAGAGCCTAACCACAAAACCCTGCCACTCACCGCCAATTAGCTTTGTTTTCACTGTAAACAGTGCCACCTTGAAGAAAAATACAGCCTCCCAGTGCACAAAACCATTTATCCCCTGCGCCCAAACAGGTGAGAGAGCCTTTGGCTTCTCGCTGCCTGAGACGTGGGACTTCGTGCTTTCTTTCTTGCAAAATGCATCCCTACGAGACCAGCAGGCAGCCCAGATGCCCAGTGAGTCGGGGGCTAGGCTTGGCTCTACAGACGCAGAAAGCGGAGAATGAGCAAGAACAACGATCCTATTCTCTACGTCCTTTCTGCAGGATTTTTTTTTTTTTTTTGTGGTGGTGGTTGTTTGAATCTGTGATAAACAGTCCGCGAACACAGAGTCTCAGTTGAGCCAAACTCCAAAGGCCGCGGCGCATAACACAAGGGCATCTTTTACATTGTGTGTTTCCCATCAATGAACGCCCGACCCTTATGCTTTCTTTGTTTAAAAGGAAAAAAAAAAAAAAAAAAGATCATACTTAAGCAAAAGTAAACCACAGCCTGATACTGTGCCAACAATGTTAACCAACTTCTCTCGAGCGCCTTTGAAGTTGGCGGGGGGCAACATGCTTGTGGTGCAAGGGAAGAGCGATACTTTAAGCGATTCCTTTTCATCCCTTTAACTTAATGAAAGATTAATGGCCTTGTTATTTTTGTTTCTGCTCCTTTTTTTCCCCCTTTAATTTCCCCCCGCCCTTGTTGAAATTGAAAATCCTGCCCTATAATGATTTTCTGGATCAGTGGGTTTTTTGAATACAACTCCTACCCCTTTGCCACCATCTGCAAACAGAGCCACCTACTCCAAGTCCAAAATACCCAGGTGCTTTCTAGGGAGGAACTCAATGGCCACCAGGCAGATGGGTGTCAGCACTGAAGCACTGGCTTGTGTTCAAACAAACCTTCCCCCTTTGAAATGGACTGGAATACCCGCGCATGGATTTCTTTTTTTTTTTTTTTGTCTTGAAGATTCAATGTTGTGTTTTCTGGCACCATCTTGGGAGGCTGGCCACACAATCATCAGCAGGTGATTGTACATTATGACCTGGCCGATTGTTCTGGTGATGAGGCAGAAAAGCTCAGCCAGAAAATCATTAAATAGGTGATAGGTTTCCCCCAGCCTTGCTCTTCTCCCAGTCTTCCTAATGCTACTCGGTGGCAATTCCATCCGCTGATTGTGCACTCCAAAAACGTAGGTGTCATTCCTGGTACCAGTTGTGCTCATGGTCAGTCAATCAGCAAGACTTGTTCCAACCTCCCAACTA